CCCCAAAACCCCAAAACCCCAAAACCCCAAAACCCCAAAACCCCAAAACCCCTGATATTTTTTTAAAATTGAACTCTTTCTCGTATATTACAGTTATTAAATTAAAAACTGACTTATTTCTCAACATGCTTCTTTTCTCTCTTGCCTGCAACCCAAATTCCCTCAGATATAGTCCCGTCTTTTGCAGTGAACTTTCCTCTACCATCTTGTTTGCCTTCTTTCCATTCGCCTTCGTACTCTCTGCCATCACCCCACTTGAAGACACCATATCCGTCCCGTTTATCATTCATGAAGTCTCCTTCGTAAGATTTTTTATCCTTCCAGGTGAGCTTTCCTTTACCCATCATTTTATTATCCTCCCAATTTCCTACATATCTTTTACCATCGGTCCATTCATATATTCCATGACCGTTGATATGGTTGTTTTTAAAATAGCCCTCATATTTTGACCCATCAGCGAAAATGAGGGTTCCTTCCCCATGCTTTTTGCCTTTCTTATAGTGGCCTTCATATTTAGCATTGTCAGGCCAAGTCTCAACTCCGTAGCCATCCTGCTTGTCATCTATCCATTCACCATCGTATTTGGAGCCATTGATATGAGTATAGGTGCCTTTTCCATGAGCTTTGTCATTTTTCCATTCTCCTGTATACACATCACCATCTGCATGGTGAAGAGTCCCTTCACCATTTGCTTTATCGTTGAGCCATTGGCCTTCATACCTCGAGCCGTCTTTCCAGGTTTGGAAACCGTAGCCATGGCGTTTTTGACCCATCCATTCTCCTGTGTATTTAGCCCCGTCCTGTATCTCGACCTCATCTCTATTTTTCAACGTTCTTACTAGGAGATCCGAACGATAAATTATTTTTGTCTCTAGGCAAAGTTGACTTGGCTTGATTCTTTTTATTTATGAACCACTCGTTCTTCTTTATAATCCTCTGAAGTCTCTGGCAGCTGTTGCATATCATGTTGGTTGCTTTCATAGCCTGTTATTTCACCATCGATAGTTCTGACTTCATCAGTGCAGTTACCTCAAAATGTTGTTCAGGTCTGGCCCATCACTAGAAATTAATTATCTTTTTGAACCAATTTTTCATAATGATTCAGGGGTTTTGGGGTTTTGGGGTTTTGGGGTTTTGGGGTTTTGGGG